CCGCCTTTTGAAGCTTGGCACCAAAAAATAGATGGCTACAGGGTGGTGACGGCACGCTGTCAAGGTTGGGGCATCGCGTCAAGTAGTGGATCGAAATTGTACAAACTCAAATCCTTGGCACACCGTGGTTGGCCGTGGAGATTGTTAACATTTGTATGCGCGAAAATGTCCACGTGGACCACGTAGGACATGTCGAGAAATGTTCATGCACTCGGTTCCTTTGGGATGACAACAAAACACACGCACAGGAGAGACGTTTGGCAGAGAGAGGTCGAGTACTGGTGCTTTCTGATGAAACTGAGCACATACGCGAGTGAGCCCGTGCGCTACAAGCGGTGGACACGAGGTCTGGCCGCGAACATGCGTGAGACCCTCGTGGAATAAGAGGATTCAGCGCTTGGAATGAAATCCACGTGCTATTGGTCAAGGCATCATCTGACTTCGATTCACTCGACCAACTACCGCATCTACGGCAGTGTACCAAACCCGAACGTACAGCTACGAGATCATGTTCCATACGGTCCGTGTACGGGATGATCATCTGCGCGCGTGGCTTACTTCAGAGACAAAGCAGAAACAAGCTTGTGTCTCGTGACAAGCTCGGATCTACCGGAAAAAGAGCAGCGAAAAAGAGCAGGACAAGAGGCGTGACGGAAAAAGCCGAAGTCAGCGGCAGACTAACTAACCTGGGGGCGACGAAGGCCTGGGAAGTGGCGGCGCACATGGCGAAGCAAGCAGCGGTCTTCATCTTTGAGATTGGGTGGGGTGGAGACAGAGTAGAGTTGCTGAAGTGGTGGGTTGACAGTGGAGTGAGAGGGAGGGGGGGCAGGGACCCGCGGGCTCGAGAGAGGCGGGGGGACGATCGTCCAGAATCCCCGGTTTTAGAACCGGTACCGGTGCGACAAGAAGATCTCACCATCAATCTCGACGGTGATTGGGCAAAATGTCCACGTCCTCTGACATTGACCAATCAGTGCCTAATTTGAATCCACGTCCATAGTCGTGTCTCCTTTTGTTTTTTTGTATATTTTTGCTTGTGCTCGTGCTCTTCGCTGCTCTCCTCTCCTGCCCCTTGCCCCCCGTTGGTCATAACACCGCGCCCGCCCTCGACACTCACGTAACCACATTTTCTCCCACCAAACACCAAAAATGAAGTCCGCTGTCATGGCCGTTGCTTGCGCTGCTGGCGCGAACGCCTTCGTGGCACCCAGGTGAGCCCGCGTTTTGTGTCGAATCGTTGCTCCCGTGTGCCAGACTCTTTGTGGATACTCTTCAAAATCAACGATCCAGCGTGATCCTACTGCTGTTGTGGTCGTGAGCTGTGTACCGCTACATGCACTACAGGCCTGGTGCTCGCGGTAGCACCCAGGGCGTGGTTCATTGGCACTGCTGCTCACACACGAAGCAGATCTTACACCGAAAACGCTAAGCATGCACGACGCACACTCGCTGTACTTGCAGTAAATTTTATGCATGGTGTCTCGCCTGTGCGTGAGAAATTGAAATTTCGGTTCATGTACGCCTATTATTAATAATAGTTGTCGATGTGTCTTGAGTTGCGGTGCGACATGACAAGGGTAGGGCGTGTCTAGCATGGCTTCGCTACTCGTGTCAATACCCGCTACCCATCCTTCCCTCCTTTCTGTGCCCCATGCACGCAGTCTGGTTTCGTCGGCCTGCATGTTTGAACACGCACACCACCCTTTATGACAAGTACTTGTACCCTTCCCTGAGACCCCATGACAGCACCAGTCTTGTTTTGAGTCCGTGTCTTCCGATCTGCACACCAGCAACACAGCTGGACACGGCATGCGCGTAGCTTACAGCCAACAAACATTGTCAACACTTGGTCGAGCATGAGCAAACTTGAACGAGCGACCTTGCATGTGGCCGCCGCAAGCTTTCTGCGCATGTCGCAGTACTCTCAGAGCGTGACACAGAGAAACATGCATCCACGTGCCAGCCTGTTCCCCTCCTGTTGAGGACCCAGGCTTCAAAGATTTTTGTTCATTTTTTATACTGCTGCTCGGTTTCAGACGCAAGAGTTGTGCACATGCGGTATCCACAAAACTGTGGTCACTCCAGCGAACAGATTATTGCTGGCGAGAACCGCGGAGAACGGGAGTGCCCTTGGGGTAGTGCCGGGAGCACGCCGGCAGGCCAGCAGCAGACATGCTTGGAAATTTCATGCACTCCGCATGATTTTCTATGTGGTCTCCTTGTGGTCTCCCTCGCGCCTCGAGTGTACATGTATCGCTGTTTTTTTTAAAAGTAAACATGACCTCACAGAAGACTATTATATTAATACCCGTTCGAGATCTATAACCTCAGTCGAAGGGGATGTGGTGAAGTCTTTTCAGGAAGTGGATAGAAACCGACTGGAAACTGGTCTTATTTTGACTCTGTAAAAGCCTCACTCACTGAGTTATCTTTTATAAAAGTGTTTGTACCGCGGACGGCCGCAAGTACACATGGTTATTACTTGGCGGCAGCGTGTTCAGTCGCGGTCCGATCCCCGCCTTGTACAGCGGTAGTGCCCGTCCTTTCCATGCGTTGTGGTAGTATCGTATGGTACAACGCTACATTGGCGTGTTTTGACGGAACCATATATGAAAGGAACCATCTCACATCCCCGACTCTGCTGTGCATGATTCCCCTCCCTCGCCGTGCGATTTGATGAGTCGTTATGTTGAGACTACGTTATGGTGATGGTAACGGTGCGGGCGGGAAAAACCCGAGCAGGGTCTGGTTGCGACGGTCTCGTCAATAGTTTGGTTCTTGCAGCGCGGGGTGGAGTCATACATGCGATACCATGCCGTCCGTCATAAAACCGACATTGGCACTACGGAGAATATCGACACGGCGCTGCTGCAAAGCGACCAGGATAGGAGCGCAGCCGAAAATGAAGCAATCTCCACAACATGTTTCGCGAGAGCTACTGTAGCGTGATCGTGGCCGACACAAGTCCACCTCAAACGAGCGAAGGGCTGAGATTGATGTGATTGATGTGGTCGTGGCCGACGCATGTGGACGTCCTGCCCGCGTCAGTTCACCGATAATCCTCTTTCGTGGCAAGAGGCATTTGCTGAACAGCAAGCTCTTGCCACGAAGAGGGTTGTCACTGCAAGAACGTGGGCTGGTGGTCGACAAGCATCGGCCACCACCACGTCAAGAACTTAGCCGTCGCTGATGGGTCGGGTGTGATGTCGTGTTTCCGGCTTCGGTGGGTTCAAAATGACTTTGGGAAGCGTTGGGGGGCATGTGTGTTCTTTCTCTTGCTTCGCTTGGCAGTTCGACCGACGACAAATCAGGTCGTTGCACGCATGGCATACCATTGCTCCACGATGCTCCGCTATATCGAAGTCACCGAACCTTCTCTCTTGTGGTGCTGAACCACTGCAGCGCACACCAAAATGAACACATGGCTGCCTTATTTTTTTGTCTTGGGCCGGGATATGCGACCCTTGTCTTTTATCATGTATCGTGTGCGTACCTATTCTTTGACGGCAAGCGGTCAAATCGTTCTGTTCTTGCAACCGCTGGAGCCACCTCCACCACCAAGCTCGCCCGACAACCGACCTAGACGAGCGTTACATGGGACATAGAAAACTTATCGACTCGACAACGTTCTTGACTTGAAATTTGCTCCTCGCGTGTGCCTTTTGGTGGGGAGCAATGAACCTTCGGGGGCTTTCGTGTGGATGTGGGCTTTTCCCACTTTCCCACTATAACCTCCTTGCCCGATACGTCCAACACAACGCAGTATCCATAAGGTGCTCTACTCTGCTGTCGCTACAGCGTTCCTACCTACCATAGACGTTATATTCAGAGCTTGGCGTTGCGGTCCTTGTTCTTACGCTTTGTCGTACTCTTTGATGATGCCTCTTAAACCACAAGCCGTTTATGCATGTGTCAGTAGCTGCCTGTTCGGGGCCTGTCAACACTACACTCACCCGCATTCCACCTTGCCCCCCCTCCCCCCCCCCTCTTGAAACACAGCGCCTTCAACGGTGCCGCCGTGGCCACCCAGGCCAAGTCCTCCTCGGCCATGAAGATGTCGTTCGAGTCGGAGATCGGTGCGCAGCCCCCCCTCGGGTTCTGGGACCCGCTCGGCCTCCTGGCCGACGCTGACCAGGAGCGGTTCGAGCGCCTCCGCTACGTGGAGGTGAAGCACGGGCGCATTGCTATGCTCGCCATCGCCGGCCACCTGACCCAGCAGAACACCCGCCTCCCCGGCATGCTCTCGAACTCGGCCAACCTGTCCTTCGCCGACATGCCCAACGGTGTGGCCGCCCTCTCCAAGATCCCCCCGGCGGGCCTCGCCCAGATCTTCGCGTTCATCGGCTTCCTTGAGCTGGCTGTGATGAAGAACGTGGAGGGCTCCTTCCCCGGAGACTTCACCCTCGGCGGCAACCCGTTCGGGTCCTCGTGGGACGCTATGTCGGAGGAGACCCAGGCGTCGAAGCGCGCGATCGAGCTCAACAACGGGCGCGCGGCACAGATGGGCATCCTCGCCATGATGGTGCACGAGGAGCTCTCCAACCAGCCCTACATCATCAACGACCTCGTCGGCGCGTCGTACACCTTCAACTAGATTTTTTACCAAGTTTTGCTGATTTTTTACCCAATTCTGTTCCATCTTCTGTGGTAGTAGGCAGAATGCCAACAAGGGCAACGCATCTAGGATTGGTCTGTTCTAGGCTGTGTTAACCGAGGATTGGTCTGGGTCGAGAGCATACTGTTTGAAGCAGGAGTTTGTCTGGTGTTGTCTCTGTTGACTCTGGTCCAAACGATTTTTGGTGGTGGGGTTGGCCGCAGAGTTGCCGTTGTTTCGCTTTCTTTGTTTTGCCGCTTGGAAGTTTTTGTGTTGGAACTGGGCGTGTTGTGTGTTTCCTCTTTTTTGGAAGGGTGACGGACACCATTTTGGGAAACGCATGAATCAATCCACATACACACAACAAATCTTTTTGCTTGTTTATCCTTGGCGGAGGACATCTCTCACGTTGTGGTGTTGGCTAGGTTGTGCTACGAAAAGCAAGCCGGTGCCTGCTCGCATAAACTGATGGTAGCTTTTATTCATGGATCAATGGCCCTGGTGGTGGCTGTGGTTGCACGTCGTTGCTGTACTACTATGTCAGCCACCCACATGCTCGTCACACGCGTAGAATACACACGGTGGCCTCCCTCGAGCTTGCAGACTTGGAACGTCCATGTTTTACCAAGGCAACTTCACTTCAGCCCAGCTGGGCTGAAGTGAACGCTCTTTGTCTTGCTTTTGTCGTTGGAAAATGAGCGCGACGTGCTGGCAACATAGTGCGGCCCTTCTCAAAACGATTTGCGCATCCGGAGAAACTTGGAACTATTTCTCTTGTACGTTTTGTCCTCTGTTGGACCCAGAATGGACCACAGGCTAAGCTAAAACTAACGCAGCGCGTTTGTACTGTAGTAGGGTGCGGTTTGGTTCGACGATGTATCACCAGCACTACTTGCCTTCGCGTATACTTTGTTTTTTCTCGATCACACAATCGCCACATTGTGGGCAGCAAACAAAAGTTTGGGCACCTCACCTCCATTTTTTTTTTCTTTGTTCTGTCTTCAGTTCAAATCAGCGCTCACAGCACTAGTGCCGTTTACTTCAACTCGTGGTCACACAGAAGGGCCCCTCTCTACCCTCCCCTCCTCCGGCACGTTGCCCTCGGTCCTTAATGCGAGAAGAGTTCAGCACTCTATTCCCTCTGTGTACACACGAACTAGCGCTATCCACTAGGCCAGGAGCGGAAGCGAGAGAAAAACTCACTTTGCAAGAAAAGCTCGCTGACGCCCGGATTCGAACCCCTGACCGGACCTCTAGAAGGTTTCGAGGATACCGACTAGACCAACGGGGCGACCGACACCGATTGCAATTGTCGAAAGACAGGAGGCTACAGTACCAGTGCTGATCATTATCACCGGTGGAACACATCCAACTCTGCATGTGCAGCATGACAAAAGAAGCTTGTCCTAATAATACTGCTGTATGCATAGTGAAGTGGGTGGTTGCCAGAAGGTCGGCATACATCTCTCTTTTCCGTTGTGGAGTCATCACCAGGACAGGCAGGTGTGGTAGCAGCAAGTGGTCCAGACTATAGACAGCATCACGCACGACGCTCAGTACTTAATGACGAGAGTGAGAAGAGATGCTGGCTGCACAAAGCGAATAGTGGCACACACTGCGTGCTACTGGTTCCTGACAACGCAGCAAGGTATGGTACGTGTTCACGGTTCGGTACGGTAGTACGTCTTCCATTGAACCACAAGCACGGGTATGCTAGCGGGTTTTACACACGGTAATACTGGATGTACATCTATCGCACGTTACGCACCTACCTACAGTAAGACGAGTAAGCAAGCATACCGATGTGCCACCAGGCATGGTGATCACAGTGCACTACGTGGTCGGTACACCTACTACCCATGGTGAGAGGTACACCTACTACCCATGGTGAGAGGTACTACTATTACTGTAGGTCCCATCTACGTACATACGGGTGTCAGTTACCTATCTAGCCTATCTACATGCTGATGATGTGTGGGCCACGCTATGCACCACCAAACAAGAAAAAAAAAAAAAGTATGTAGACTAGTGCCAACGCTCCAGACCACCGAACATTGTGAAAAGTACCACATGTCCACGGCCCGACGCAGCAAGGCGAAGAGCGCCCGGCCGCCCACAACCAAGCAACCACGTGAGGCGGCGGAGTTGTAGGTATTGGTCCTAAGTCCCCTTCGAAAAGACTTAGCTTGCTCACTTTGTCATGATCACGCTTGCTTGCGGTTTCCAAAACGGGCCCACAGCCACTCTCCCTCTCTCTGTTTCTTCAGCTTGCGGATTTTAGAATCGGTCCGCAGCCACATCTATCTCCTCTCAAACATGCTCTCTGCTCGATCCTCTCATCACCCGGAGGGTAAACAAACTATAGCATAATATAATAAGCAGCAACAGACACAACAACAACGCTAGCTAGCTAGCTGTCCAAAGCTCCCTCCCTTCGAAATGCCCAGAAAGGGGGAGACCAAGGACAGTTCACAACCTAGACCTGCCCAAAATTTTGGTGCCCTGTAGCTCTGGCGTGCTCGAGAGCCCCCTTTTCTCCAGCTAGCAGCTTGAAGCAAACCATGCACTTGAGGCTAGCGTTTCCCATGTCGGTGTACTGATTCCTCTGCACGGGGGGTACGCGGGAAGCGAGCGGGGTACGTCCAGAGGGAAGGAGAGCGGTGTGGGTGTGCAACGTCCGAATCGTTCCAGCGGCATGATCAATCAAAGGGCGCGCGCGTGCGGAAGAATATTCTTCTGCCTGAAAGCGCACGTACTTACCTACAATGCGGAGTTGATGCTATGCCGCATGGATGGACGTGCTTGTAGCTTTTGCATGCGTTGCACCGGTGATACCTACCTAGGAGCTATGTAGGCACAGCAGTATTATCCTCTCAGAGAGAATGGCACCAAACACCACGTGGCGGCGAATCCACTTGACGGAATGCGTACAACAAATACATAGCTTGAATGTATCTGCATTTACGTCGAACCCTCCGGTCGGGCAAGTCGATACTTGCAAGTATAAAGTAGATAAGAAAAGTCAGCCCCCTGATGCTCCACACAAAAAATGGCACCAGCTTCTGAGTCCAGAGCAGTCTGATCGCGGCCCGGAGACGACCCTCACGAGCCCACAGCGACAAAACGAATGTGGTTTGTGGTTGTTGACCGCACCGCTGCACGTGTGCCCACAGCCAACACGCTTGCTTGCGGCTACACTGTACACTCGCTCTCAGCCGTGTTCGTCGATACACACCTATCTCATCCCCGATCGACCCACCCACGCCACTGACAAGAGACTGCCGCCCAATCACCGGACGAAGACATGGCGGGTTCTGAAGGCAACACCACTCGGAATAAAATTCGCGACGGGCCTACCGGCGGTGCCCCGCCGGCTTTCCCCAAGAGCGAATGAGAGGGAAAAGAAACGCAAGTACAGGTACAAATCGAGACACCTAAATGCGGCACACGGACGCCGAGGATGTTGAACGACAGCGAGAGCCCACGCGCAGGCGGAACTGAACGACTTGCGCCGCAAAATAGAGCGAAGCGTCTGTCGTGAACGTTCAGCGGCTGGAGGAGTTAGAAAGCTCTTTTCTCGTTATACTGCCACCAGCCAGGTGGGAGCACGAAGAATCTCCGTGCAGAGGCCACCGCCCCTGTGCACACCCCTGTGCACACCATACGGCACGCGCAAACACGACAAGACAAGAAGGCTCGAAATGCTCGTCGGGGCAACACCGCCCTTACCCCCAAACACAGCCGTGGACAGCATGCGCGAAGGAGAGGCAGTCAGCTCACTCACCGCTTTGAGGTCGGCCGCCACCGTCTTGGCCAATATCTCCTTCTCCTTCTCCGAAGGGTTGAATACAGTAACGTCGTCCGATTCAGGGGCCGTCTCGTTCGCTGCCTCCGCCAACGCTGCGTTCGAGTATATCAGTTCCAGAACAAATAATAACGGGGGGAACGGGGTCAGGAAGGGGGATTGCAAATCATCAATCGTCGAGTTTGGCGAGGTTGCGGGGGGGGATGGATGCCTTCAATCATACAAGTATTAATCCGAGATGATGATGATCATCAAGCGGGGCGGGGTCAGGCAGGGGGGTATGGAATTATCAATCATAAAGTTTGGCGGGGTACAAGTAGGCGGGGATGTTCCACAACCGCCGCTTGTGCCAAGGCTGTGCTGAATTGAAGAACTTGGAGTGTTCACCATCAACAACGGGGGGCGGGGGGGCAGGGGGGGGAAAGTTCCACAATTGCACGGACAGGTACTACGAGTATTAGTTTGAGGGATGGGTGCCTTCCCACGAGTCCTCTCTGCCGTCAAGTGCGTGGGTCAAAGAACCGGTGTAAGAGGAGAGTCCGGAGGTGAGCTGGCGTTGGGGGAGGGAGGTAGCAGGGGAAGACTACCAAAGCGGTGTGGACGGGGTCAAGATCCGCCAACAACAGCTACATTGGCAGTCTAGCAGTAACCACGCATGTCGAGAATCTGCGGATGTACATGTAGATACTGTACGATGAAGGCCCGCAGAGTCTCAAGTGATATGTATGCATACAACAACCAGCCAACTACGCAGGTTGTGATATCCGGAACAGCTGGAGGAGGATGAAGCGTCGTTTGGTGGTCCATACCGTGGAAATACCCATCACCGCGCCGAAGCTTGCCTTAGCCAAGCCTAAGTCTCTGCAAGTACATGACATAAGAGTGTCGTGGAACGTCTTGCCTTGGCCAAGCTTAAGTCTCTGCAAGTACATGACAAAGAGCCTCGTGAGAACGTCTATGTCTTCCCGTAAGGCTCTTCGTCTCTCACTCGCACACCAATTCAATACTGCATATCCTTGCTCGCATCATTCAAAACAGTTCACCCACGTCAACGCCCCAAAACACGAAACACGCAGAATTTCCGTGAAACTTCCCCCCTCCCCCCCGCCCCCGCGTTCAGTGTGCGCTCACCATCGTAGTGAATCCCGTCGTAGATGATGAAAAGCCGCCGGCCAAAGCCGTGCTCTTCTCCGTATGAGTAGGCGTTGTTTGTCTGTATATCCACCACGGTGATCATCACAACCAGCTGCGTGAAGAAAAAAAAGAAGCGGAAACGAGGGGGGGGGCCCCGTGGAATCGGCTGTCACGTCTCACGTCGCGAGAGGAGAAAAAATAGGAGCGACAACGCTCTCCGCGGGATGGGTCACCTCCGAACTCCTAACCCAACGGAATAGGTAACACTCGCAGCACCCCTTCGGCTGATCGTCCCTTCTCTGCAGAGTAGGGGGTCTCCTGGTTGTGGCCTGCCCCCCCCCCTCCCTCCCTGAAAGCTCAAGCACAAGCGCGCATCCACCCAACCCTCCCCGCCCATTTGTACTTCTTTTCTTTCGGGAACGACGAGGGCACAGACGGAGCTCCCGCTGAGGCCATGGCAGAGGGTTTTGAAGCGATCGCTCTATTCTAGTATCGAAACAGAGAGAGTCACCTTGCTCCCGCTCTGTGATACAGTACATGCCAAGGCGTAATGTAATCTGTATCATCTTCCACAGGAGACGGCGCCTGCGATCGTATACTACGCGTGGTTGTTCTTTAGCCGACACCCCCTGTACTGCGAGCGCGGCAGCCGTTGTCTTTGGTCCTTGCCTTTTTGGAGAGGATAGATAGTTCGATCTCGCCCCCCCAGCTTTTGGGGTCCGAAATCCAGTTGCAGTATTCCTCCGGCTGCTTGCCGAGAATACCCTGTGCGCACCGAGAGAAGCGGGGGTACAAGGACAGTCACTAGAGTGTACCCCACGGTTTCGTTTTGGTACGGCATAGGTTTCTTCCTAAAACGACATGTGTGTGCCTTGGCCGACAACAACGTCTTGTGCCTAGCCAAAAGTCGACCTTACGAAAACCTGTTGCACATCTGTGAGTTCGCCCGCTCTTTTACGCCATTTTTTCCTTTTGCCTTTTGTTTGCGTACTTTTTGTTACGGTAGTGGTGGGGATCGGGTGATAGAGCTACTTTAAGTATGCATACAATATACAACTCGGTGTTGGGAGGAAGGGGGAAGGGGGGAGGTTCTGCCTTCTCAAGAGCTAATTCAACGTGCGGTCGATCGGACGGGATCACTGCCCTAACCTGATCCTTCTACAAACAAGCTACAAGTCGTTGGTGATCCGTTTCTCCAACGCCATACGTGCTCAGTTGATCCATCGCACCCGTGTGCTGCTACGGTGCCAAAAGAGGAAAGACGCAAGCCAGAAAAACAAGGCCGTTGAACAGATGCTCCGAGATACCCCCCGCTCTCCTCCCCCCTTCACATCAACGTGCAACGCCAAAAACAGACGAGAATAGAAGCCTATGCCATGCCCCGAGATCCCACCAACAATAATGGCTAGTTTGACGCAGACGACCTCAATCCGTCTCTGCAATAACCTCGCCGCTACCTCAAGCGGCTCCGCGGTAGCCCCCCCCGCCCGGACGTACGTACCTCGTTGTACACCTCCGGGCTCCCTCTCACAGCCTCCGTGATCATTTGTCGCAGCTCCGTGCCCACTTTTCTCTTTCGACGGAGAGCGTAGCCCACGGCATTGAACAAACAAGAGTTGTCCGCGTCGATGATACGGCGTACCATGATCCTGGCTGCTGTTGCCGTTGATGCTGGGGAGATTTCGGAGGGGAAGAGACGAGGGGGACAAAGGGTCATGCCATGCCATGCCATGCCATGTTGTTCTTGAGGAGGTCCTTGTTTGCTCAACGTTTCTGCACGCCCGACGCGCTAAACACATTCACATCGCTCTCTGGGTCTACGACAGACAGAGGATAGAGGACAGGGGACAGAGACAAAGGGAGAGACACAGAGATAGACACAGAGAGAAGGAGGGATGGAGAGAGCAGAGGGCGAGCGAGCGAGAGAGAGCGCGAGAGAGCGAGAGAGGCATGATGACAGGCTACGGAAATCGCAAAACAACAGTTGTACTTGAGGTACGAAGTAAGTGTTAATACTCCCTCTCCTCGTGAACGAAAGAAATTTAAAGCCGTCCTGCCCCATACGTACGTGTGCATGCAATCAGACAATCTTCCTGTCTGTCTGTCTGTCTGTCTGTCTGTCTGGTGCCGGGACACACAACCGGAGCCGTCACGGCCGCGTCGCCTGCACGCCCTAAGTCCACCTTGATTGCAAGCGGGGTGCAGCAAGTCATGCCCCAACCTTCACCCGACTCGTACCGTACTCGCCCCACAAAACACTCTCGCGGAGACGCCCCAAGTCCACCTCGATTGCAAGCGGGGTACAGCAAGTCATGCCCCAACCTTAACCCGACTCGTACCGTACTCGCCCCACAAAAACTCTCACGGAGCTTACTCCTCCGTGCGTAGTTGGGTGTTCAGTTCACCCGACTGGCCTAGTCCACGAGAAACATTCCAATCGACATAAGCGGTGCCAACACACGTTCCACCCGGGCTTTGTAAGGTGCGGCAGCAAGTCCACCTCGACCAGCAACCTGTCTGCTTGCCCCGCCTACCCTAAAGCTTTTTTGCATAGACGAACGTGATGTATGCGTCTATTTACTGTAGAGCGACAATAACACCGGCGTACCCCCCTCCACCTCTCCACGCGAGGGTGCGCGACTATTTTCACGGATTCACGATGCGAAAGCACGGTACAGAAGAATGATAAAACCCGCACACCTGCCCGCCCGCTATCGCTGCCCAGGGCCGCAGGGTCTCCCGACATGCAGATTTCCACCGCAGTGTTGATGTCCCCGCCCGCTACCTCCAGCGCCTTGGCGGCGAACCCTTGCTCAAACCCCATGTCCACCAAGGATTGGACCAGTGCAGGGTCCACCGCCGGCTCCTGTCGCCGCTGCAACTGAGGCGGAGCCGGCGGCGCCGCGCTAACGCTGGTGGTTCTTCTAGCCGCCGCTGAAGAGGGGGGAGAGGGGACGGAGCTAGGTGGTGGTGGTGATGGTGATGGTTGTGTCGGTGTTGGTGTCGGTGAAGGGGGGGCCTTGCGCTCGAGCACCGTTAGCGCGCTGCCGGAGGTTATCCCGAGCGAGACTACGGGGTCGGCGTCAGAACCGGAAACATCCTTCGGTGGAAACCCTGCCTTGAGCTGCGCCCTGCAAGAGAATTGAGACGCGTCGTCGACCGACCGGCGGGAAGAGGGCGAGAGTGAGGAAGGGAGAGGTGGAGAGGCAAGGGTTTTGAGAAGTGGCTGCGAGAGAGACAAAGTATCGATTCAAGTAGCCGCAACTCTGCAGTACGAATCGTGTAGGGACAAGATGCAACCAACGAGAGCTGCAGCAGTATATGATTCCCTCTGGCTCGTGGCAGCAATCTTGGAGAAATTAGACAATTTAGCTCCTTCGCACCCACAAAACAACGCCTGAAGTGTCCTATGTATCTACAGCAGTAGTGCCCTTCGTACAGCAGTGTACTCCCCAACCCGACAGCAAAGATCAACGTCTTCTCAAGATCGCTGTTGCTGTACGGGGCTCACAGCAGGAGCCGCTACTACTGCTGTACAATAGCTGCTCGTCAGACGCGGAGCAAGTACTCATTGGAAAATGCACAATAGCAGACGGCTACAAACTATCGCCTAGTGCCCTGACCTTGGTGCCTGGCCCGGGACGTCTGGTCTCTGCTTACCTGTGGGTCTCGATGCCGGATTTCTCGGCGATCACGCCCTTGAGTTCGGAGAGTGTGATGCCATCGTCAAGGCCTAGCAGTCTCGCCGAAGATGCACCCGCCCCCCATGTGATCTTCAGGTTAAGAGGCATGGCGGTCCGTGCCCGAGACAGAACGAGATGGCGGGTGTTGTCAGTGGGAGTCGTCCCAAGCAACCAACGTCAAGCAAGCAAGCGCTGAGCAGTGCACTGGAGATGTTTCGGGAGAGGGTTCCGCGCACTGCAAGGAGTACTAAAGACACGCTGGCATGCATCCAGCGGACAGACGGGGTTATTTGCATCCTACGGTGCCCCGGTTCAATGCGGCCAAACAAAATAAAATGCCAACCGCAACACTGACAGCTTGACAGCTTGACAGCTTGACGGCTGCTTCCTCAACGCTTTGCTGCCTGTCAAGCAGCTTTAGCGAAGAAGCCACCCGCGATTCCTACATCCAACCCAAAGGTTCTCACACCTTTTACCAGAGGTTATTCCGCTTCCTGATCGCTCGTGGTCTCCTCTTCGCAGGTAGGTTTGGTTTAGTTGTTGTTGTTGTTGTCTTCACATTAAAAACCGTTCCGATCTCTCTCTACCCCGTACCTTCGTATGTCCGTACTGATCCAACACTAGACGCGGTCGATTCCCGTGGTCACAGGTTAACTTATCCTAAAAAGGTACACTCAAATAAACTGGCCCCAAGGGGTCCGCAAGTCAATAGAAATCATCGACAGATATTCTGGAATCCTCCACCCCCTCTGCGCGCTATGCGAGGTATCAACTGAGACTAGGAGTCACTGTCTATCATGGGCCGGAGAGAAAGAGGTACACCCCCGTGGTTCAATCTTGGTACTTCACAACGCAAGCAGAGACAAGGCCATCTGGCACAGAAAAAGAGAGAAAAAAAAGAGAGAAAAAGAGAAAAAAGAGAAAAAATAAAAAATGGAAACAGTAAGAAGAAAATATTACAAGCAGGTGTAACGGTTGGATTTTGAACGCGACGAGACACACCCACCTTCACCGAGGATATAGCACACTGGCGACAAGTAGTCGAGGAACCGTAAGCTTGTCGATGTCGACCGAGCGGTACAGCGCTCACTCCTCGCCTGCGCTTTGGCAGTCATCAGCTGGTACCACTGCTACGCGCGTGTGCATGTTGACCGATTGAGTCGACTGGTCTTGTCATGTCGGTCTGTCTGGCCGGCCGCAAGGAGCGACTCAGAAGGAGTTCCGCACGAGAGGTACCCCCTGGGGGCTGGGCGCTTTCCCCAGGGGTAAACACGGAAGGCGCGTACCGCGACGCAGAATTTACACGCGGTAGAACCGCCACGTCGAGCGGTGCTCATGATTGTTGCAGGCTTCCTTACCCTTGCTGCCTGCTGTTGCTGTCGCCGGTCGCGGCGGCTGAAACGTGCCCAGCTCTAAGGGCACAAAACGCCAGTCGGCCAAGTTTTCTGATGCAGTTGAGGCGGTATTTGGCTCTTGGTGATGTATGTGATAGCAGTACATAAAGCCCGCACCGCCACGCGAACCGATTGATGTTCTTGTTGTCCCCTTCACCACGGGTTGTTGGCTATTCCTTCACCACGGGTTGTTGGTTATTGGCCGCTCCGGTGTTCTCGAAAGCCTGTTAATGTGACTTTAAGTAGGTGCCACGGTACAGCTATACATACACACCTCCCCGGAGAGATCGTAGCAGCTGTACATACATATGTAGTCCAATCTCACACACCTGTATACGTTTTCCTGATTAATTTCATATTGTCGACGACCCCTACTCTCTCTTCCTGTCCGATTATACCATCGGGAGAGAATCTAGCTGCATGCGAACCACAAGCAAGCGAGTTAGTAGGGTCAATCTGCTCGCCAACGCCCCCTCTGACGGTTCGACTCGAGCAAATGGAATCCCAAAAGACGGTGATTATTCCTTGGCGCAAGTAGAGATGACCTTCAATGGATCCCATCTCCCCAACGTCTTTCGATGACGAACCCTTCTTTCCTACAAATATTATTTCTGTTTTTCGGCGGAACGCGATAATTATTCAGAAAATTGTGAACCACCCCCCAACCTCTTCACTTTTTGTGTTACCCCTTCTGCCCCATTTCCCCCATCCGTTGGCTGCCTCCAAGGCTACCTAGGCTCACAAGGGCACCGACCAGAACTGTCAACGGGGGCTGTTTGCACCTCAAGCAGCGACAGCGACAGCAAGTTCCCCTGCCTCAAGCCATTCCTGGGAGCGATCAAGCAATCCTCGGCAAACATGCACGGCGTGCTTCGAATCTCGTGCGACCATTGCAGCATCAAGAGGGCAATGTGACGAAAAGTACTTCGAGTACAGACTGTAGTGACCTGATTGAAACGTCAGATTAAAAAAAGAATGTGAACGAGGTTCAGGCTAAGAAATACTTGTGTGGCAATGCCTTGCTTGGGTGCAAGAAAACGTTCTTCTCTACCCCAGACCACCCGTCTTCTTGCTCCACAACCACTCACCACAACGTTAATTCTGTACCCTGGGATTTGTTTTTGCGGCCATGTAAACATGTGGTAAGTTTCGCATTCACCAGTGATGCGCAACGGGTAGTTCCGGCAAGTTACACCACCTTCCATCCGCCCCACCACTAAGCGCATCACCTCCGATCACTCGCCGCCGACACTGCGGAAACAACATCCTTCCTAAGTACGACGTACAGATCAAGTGCAGTGGGTTCATCCGCGAAGCTCCGTGCACGCGCTGCGCTAGGGAAGGCCAAGCGTGCGCCATCGGCGTGAACAAGAAACCGGGGCCGAAGGTTGTACTGCTGGAGAACGGGACCTCTTCCTCCAGAACGTTGCCATCGGCGGCGTCATCTTCGACGGCAGCATCTCACGCCGCCACAACTCCCGCTCTTGTCGCTGTAAGCATGACGACTCTCAGAAGTAGGGAAGGAGTCGTTCTGCTGGGAATCGCCATGCTGACAGCGATAAGAGTGCACGTTGTGGCGGCGTGAAATGCTGCCGTTGCATCGGATTCCGCCGATGGCAGCGTTCTGGAGGGAGAGTTCCCGTTCTCAGCAGTGCGACCTTCGGCCCCGGGCTCTTCTTGTCGCCGAAGACACACTCTCGGCCTTCCCGCACGCAGTGCGTGCAAGTACCTCCGACGGTTGGCCCACCGCCTTTTACCTGTACCTTGGGGAGGATTGCGATTCTGGTGGGTCGGAGGTGATGAGTGTTGTGATTTGGCGAATTACTCGTTGCCCGTCACTGGTGAATGTGAAACGTACCACATATTTTCGTGGACGCAAAAACACATTCCCGGTATGGTATTAACCTTGTGTTGAAAGGCGTTCAAGAAAGAAGACGGACGGTCTGGGGTGGCGAAGAACGTTTTATTGCGTCCAAGCTAGACATAGCTAGATATAGCTTAGCCTGAACGTCGCTCAAAGGTGGATGCTAAATCTAACATTTCAATCACGACACTCGGTACTCTGAGGTACTCTATGTGGACGCGTCTTCTTGCCTTTCTTCTTGATGCCGCAAAGCACGTTGTTCAAGTTGTCGAGAGAATTGCTTAGTCGCGGTTTCGCTCGACGTAGTTCTCCAAAACATCGAGCATGGGGTGTGTGTGCTGAACCGAGGTGAACAATTTCTCGGGTCGCATTGAGTGCATTCGGCACCTGCATGAGTGGAGAGTACGGGGGTTCAAAACATGTCACGTGTGGTTCGAGAACTGGTCGAGTGGTTTCTCTTCGTGAGCATCGACAGCTCTAATGGGATGGCCACACTGAAATGAGGTCATTCCCATCGGGGCACGTAGAACGCGAACACGCTTTGCGTTTTGGTAGTGTGCAAGGGTAGAGGGTGGAGCCTAGAGTAGAGTTCAACGTTTGCAACCAGCCGACAGGGGGGGGGTGTACTCATAGTCGTGCATGCCGTAGTCGTTAGACCATTGACCTCGCATCCCTACAAAGCCGGGACGGAGCACGCCGGGTTCTCACCGGACCAGGCTCTCACATCACCAAGCGCGAAGCACCGTGAGGTATTCGGCGAGTCGCATGAAGGGTGAGCTGCATCCTGCTAAGGGTGTTCGGCATCTTGTGCTTACTTCCTTGCACACGGATGACAGCTGCGTATGACTTAATTAATTTTCTCGTGCGTTCACTTCCAGAGACAGTTATAAGCACTGTGTAGCTGCCTCGAGGATGCTTGACCATTTTAACACAACGTGGTGCGATCATCCCCCTTGCGCGGAGTGACGTTTCTCCACCCCGCACAACATGATCTACTCGACCACCATTATGGTTACCGCAAAAAAAAAACAGAGGTAAAAAAAACAAAAACGGTAGCCTGGTTGCCGAGTTCACGAAGTGAATTGGCTTCTTTTACAACGTCGTTGCCAAGCGACGAAAACCCAATCCCGATGGCAAACACCGAGGGGGGGGGGGGGGGGGGGGGGGGGATTTTTTTTTTTTTGTTGGCTTAAGGGGTTAAACCTTTACCCCCCCCCCCCCAAGAGAGGGG